TACGTAAGAATAAATCTCTCTGGCAACAATACATCGGAATGCCCTCACGGTCATCGCGATGTGAAAAGCACCTGACACAAATTATCAAGACACGTGTGTACAACAGACAACACGATGAAAACCTTTGGCAATACGAGCTTCTTTCAAACTCAGAATGGTGTCAGTTGGATAGTCGTCATGTTGCAATATATCATTTTGGGTTCTGCGTTTGTTGTAAGACTATTTCTCGTATATTTTGATATTATCGAGTAGATCTCAAATTGAGAAATTGAGGATATTTTTTAAGGTTTCATTAAATTCAAGAAGCTTGATGGCCCCCAATGAAAGCATGAGAAATGAAAACCTGGGACCAATCAAACCATTAGGCCCAGGGTATAGACAAAACAATAATAAGAAATTTAAACACACATATATATATATACGCACACAACGTGATTTGCCTGCATCAGTCGAGAAAAATATGTTTCATTTTTACAATAATTAAATAAGTTCTACGACATTACTTTAAATAGAAAATCTTAATATTTCTGAAAGACCAAGATTTTTTGAGACGTCAAAAAAATATTTTTATCTAGTTCCGATCCGTGTTTTCCTCTTTCGATACCTATAACTAGATATCGCTATCAAGAAAAGGACCACTTCAATCACCTAGATAACTAAGTATTAACCGAGTATTTCTCTTTTCTTTGTCCTTTATAGGAAATATTGTTTATTTTAGTTTTCTTTTTTGCCCAATCAAAATATTCAATAATAAAATAATAATCATGATGGCCACCTTAAAACGTTTGAAAAGTTGAATTCATATACTTAATATAAGGAACCATTGGTTCAATATAGCTTCCTCGTATAAGCTGCAACTTATTTTTAAGAAACTTCTTAAATGAAACGCAAGCCCTGAATAACCGTATCCAGTCGTAAATATATATATATACACATGCAGTACGCAGGCAGGTACTGCTGGAAAGATTGCAGTGAAAAACTTTAAAGGTGATCTCTTTTGTCAAAAAGTTATATACTCATCGTCTTCTAGGTTAAATAGACTAAACTGGTTCTGCGGTATCCTTAATTTCAAGTTTAAAGTGGTAGATGCTATGTACATAGTGCGGTTTCCTTAATTTCAAGTTCAATGTGATAGATGCTATGTACATAGTGCACCAAACTTTGAACTATTCATTAAGAGGACATTATCGATATAACGGAATTTGAAGTAAACGGACAATGCTACCTCCTTTTAATTCTTGATAAAACTGTATGTATAGTCTGTCTCATACGTATAATGGAAGGCGTCCCCGAGATGAGGAGCACAATTAGTTCACATAGGCATGCCAATCGTTTGTTGCAAAGCCCGTCCTTCAAACGTGTCAAATATATATTACGAAATTTCGAAAAGGCATATATTACGTACATCTTAATAGAATCATTACATTATTGAGTTCGAAACATAATGCTAAAGCTTAAAGTTCAATACATTTGTTTTAACCTCAGTCTAGATACAGGCGTAAAAGAAAAGTGTCTTTGAAAGCTGTCAGATAAGAAAGCAATCGCGAATTATGAAAATTAAATTGGTATGTCACGAATAGCTATTTCCAACATTCAACAGGCAGCAGATATACTGCTGGATCGTGGATGTATTATATAATATCTACTGATAACAGCATTCATTAGCACCTCTACAGGTTTTTTTTAAATCAAATGCGTGCTTGATATATTCATGTTTTGCCATGACTTCTATACTTTGAATGACCGATCTAATAACGTGCAGATCTTAATAAAATCATTAGATATGAAGAACAAAATATTTTAAAGACAGATTGTGTAGGTAGATTCAATCAGACTTTATAATTAGTGTAGTTATAATCCAGATTTGACTCTATCTTACAAGTCCAATATAATTTCTGATGAATGTTGAACACAGTCATGTCCTTTATAACCGATTGAAATGAGTTTTACACTCAGTGGCGGATCCGGAAAGGGGGGGTGTTCCGGGGGTTGGAACCCCCCTTTTTTTGAGGATCAACGCATTTGAATGGGGACATTTAGTTGGAACCCCCCCCCCCCCTTTTCTCCTAGGTTAGGAACCCCCTTTTATAAATGGCTGGATCCGCCCCCTGTGTAACACTTATATGCATTTCGCATCTCTTGTCTGAGCTGGTTTCTCATGGCTGCTTTTGGCTTTTAATTGCACAAGTTGCTTTAACATTTTGAATTTCTTATTTTTGATAACATAATGATATAAGGTTTTTTTTGGAGCGTATTTACCATACAATATCATGCAAAGGTAGGAAACTAAATCACGTGATATTTAATACAAATTAACATGAGCTTCCTTCATGAAATAAAAACAAAAACAAAAACCCACACCTTTTGTATTTGCGTTGTTGGGTTTCTGCCTCATTGATGAATAACCAGTATACCTCCTTTTATTCATATCAAATACGAGAAAAACTGTACCTGAAAATTAAAAAAAGGAACGTGCTTCTTCGTTAATAACATTTCAACGTTTCAACTTATTGTTTAAAGGAAATAGACATTTCACTGGACTTATACGTTAGATAAATGTTGGTTGTTACGTTTTAAGAGAATAACACAGTTAGTTCTGATGATGTATATATGCTATATGACTATAAACATATTTACCTAGAAGTGTTATCATTTATCAGCAAAGATTGTAGTTTTTTTTATGGTTTTACTTACGTAAAATATTATTTAATTAGCAGATATGTTCAATATATATAAAAATAAGGAGATGTGGTATGATTGCCAATGAGACAACTATCCACCAAAGCTCCAAAGAAGTGGAAGTAAGCAATTATAGACAACCGTACGGCCTTCAACAATGAAAAAAACCCATACCATATATATATAGTCGGCTATAAAAGGCACCGACATGAAAAAAAGAAACAATTCAAACAAGAAACCTAACGGCCTAATTTGTAACAAAATCAATTTACGAAAAACAAATATGATAGAAATGAACCAACGACAACCACTGAACTACAGGATCCTGACTTGGGACAAGCACATACAGAATGTAGCTTAGTTAATCATGTTTCCACATTAATATTATTATAGTATCGGTTGTGATGACATTAAGGTTAAAACTGAAAATATCTGGTCAAACCAGTCGTTCAAACCACACTGTGAAAAGTAGATCGGTGTGATCATGTCTTTAATATTGTATGACTGGAGACGACAATAAAACGATAATTTGCTACATCTATACAATTGTATAAAATGATTATCACAATATTTTCCGGGCGCTGATGCAATCTCGGATTCATAAGGCAACCTATGTTTTAATGAATTATGCTGTGTATAAACCTATACATTTAACACTTACAAAATGGGTATAAATAGGAGTATTTATTGTTTTGTTGTTTTGTATTATTTGCTTTTTGTGCTCTGTTTTCATTTTTTATCATGGCGACGTCCATATCTATCCAAAATGGTTGTATTTATAAATACAACATTTGCACTTGCGCATCACTCTGTTTACGGAGGTTGTTGTAATTCAAACTCCTTCCGGCAAATTTATAATATCCGATTCCCAAAATGTATCATGAAAATACTTCGTCCTCATTTCAACCTGACTCATATTATATTTATGTTATTTTGAGTTTTATCTATGCTCTGCTTTATATTGTTAGTCACTAGACAATGCATAGTCGTAATAGAGCTCGATAACCGATCAACTCATTGGTGGACCCCCCTGTTCAAAATGGCTGGAACCGCGCCTGTCAGTCTGGCAAAAACAAGGAATTTTACACGTTTGTCTTTCTTTAATAGACAATTAAGATATACCATTGAAAGTTGATAACCCTATTACACGACTATATATTCAATGTAATTTTAGTAATGAGTTTCTTTTGTCTGTAATTTTGTAATGTTTGTTGGATTTTTTTAGTCAGTGGTGTTGTATATCTGTGATGTATTTTTACATAATTTTTGCTGCTGGATCCCAATTATTGTTACATTAACCTATTATGTCTGTTTGGGTTGCTCACCCAACATTTGTCTTTAGAGACCACAAGATCATCTTTTAAATATTTAGGAATTTATCTCTTGCAACAAAATGGATGTCATGATATAGCCAAAAGTGCCGAAAGATGCGTTAAACACCAACAATCAATTAATCGTTCAATTATTTAGAATTAATTCATGGGGATTTGAATTTATACTGATTTTACCACGGGTTGGCCCTTTATGCTAAATATTTTACCACGAGCGATAGCGAGGGCTAAAATATCGGCATTAAGGGCAAACCCGTGGTAAAAGCAGTATAAATTAAAGCCCGCATGAATTATTTCTATTCTAATAGGACAGCAATTCTTTTGGAACGAAGCGCTCTAGGTGAAGGCAGAGTTTTGAAACATTTGCCGTTCCCGTAATTAAACATACTATTAATATTGACGTAAATGAACTGAGAAAACTGAACTAGTGACATGCTTAAACTATTTGTAGATTTGGATGAATTTAAATGATAATCATACTTATATATAAAAAAATTGGCTTTTAAAAAACTTATCATCGTTTGTCTATGTTTCCTTGTTTTGATGACTTTCAGTTTCACAACCGTGCATTTTCCCGTAAAATGCTTATACTCTTACGTCATCGTTCAATGACGTCATTTACACCGATTGACGTCGGGTAGCTCATTCATAAAAAAGGTTATGACGTGGGAGTATGATCGAAACAGCCCAAACAAATAATGACTTTGGCGATCAGCTGGCATACAATATATTCATATTTTACCACGGGTGTGTACTCAAAGCGTTTGAAGAACTCATATTAGAATCATGTATAAAGTTTCAAAAACGAACAAAAGTTCTCATATGGTGAACATAGCACTATATACTAAAAATCTCCGATCTCAAGTGAAAGGTATAAAATATGGAAGTAAATATGGATTGCCCGGATTTCAGCATCAAATCATCAATCCTCGTCAAGAAAGACAAATGTTTGCACGCACTATTTTTCAAAAGACTAAAGAAACTATAATCTATAATTTTAATGTTTTATTTGTTTCTCTGTTTTGATTATCATAATGCAGAAATACAAACATAATAACAAATATCACAACATCATAATAAATAATTTTACACATATACATTTGTTTTTTTCCTATTTCTTTTATTTTTTCCACATTGAGATATTCTGGATTAAACATTAATATTTTGCACAACATTTAATTCTCATTTTTATGTTGTTTGAAAGGAAATATTTTCCAAGAATACGATTAAAACTTGCAGAAAAATGTATTGCAGACTGAATGAAAAAAGAAAAAAAGTTTGTGTTGTACATAACTAATGACCAGATATTGCAACAGAAACATTTAATAATTTGCGTAAAATGACTAGAGAAAAAAGGTTTTCACCTTAGTAACATAGCACAATCCTGATTGTTATTTTCAATTTTCTTTTCAAACTTGAAAATCTAAAATGAAAGGCAAAAAAGGAACCTGAATAATAAATTATACACGTATGTAATTGCGAAAGATGATTACCTATATCATAAAATTGGATTTTCAATCATACTAGCACTAAATTCTGTCAGGTATGTAACAGAAGCTGTACATATAGCACTGTTTATTTTCATGTTTGATTAAGTTTCTGAATTGTTTTTAAAGTAGTAAAATTATTTTGATTTTTCCAGAAAACGATATAAAACAAACGAAAATGTTTGATAACAATACTGTAAATTAATAGACAATGATTAATGAACATCGGCCATTGATCTTTCGTGTGATTCCATTCTTTTTCTGTCCAGTACATTAAGCATTCTTTCCATGTGCCTCAGTTCATTATTAGGATTTGAAGAACTTGACATTCCTTGATATGGCAAACGATGGCCTAGCGGACTGCGTGGTCGAATGGGCGATGGTCGACTAATGCCATTACCTTCTGCCTCATTTCTCAATTGACTACCGGAACCGGAAATCGGTGATGTACTAGGCACAAATGTTTTTGATGACTGTAATGAATACGGTGAGTATCTTGGACTAGTGCGTGAAGGAAAGATAGGTCCCACTGTTGTATTAGATACTTGATTTGGAGATAAAGCACCTCCTCCGCTTAGTTCAGAATTAAGACTAGAATAACTTTGTGATAACATGTGATTTTGTAATGTCAGCTGATTTAGTGTAGACAGAGCATGCGCGTGCGAATGACTTGGTGACAAATGACCCATTTCTGAATGTCTAGAGGTAGGAATAAACGGCAGCTGTAAACCTGGTGGTAAAGAAGGGTTTCCTGGTAACAACATCGGACTAAGGGAATACGGCATTCCGGATGATGTAGACGAATATGGATAAAAGAACGGAAACATTGAATGAGAAGCTGATGGTTGCACTATTGTCACATTTGGGGGACTAGAAAAATCTTTAGACAAAAAATTATGACTTGATCCATGATGTCGTGATACAACGGGACTGTCTGGCGATCTACTCTTGGTCGGAGAATCTAATTTTGAGTCTGTTTCTGAATTGTCACTTTGTATGGATTTACTTGTTCTGTCCACATTCATTGGTGGTGATACTGTTCTTAAAACCGTTGGATTTTCTCGTCCATGATCAACTAATTCGTGTGGTCTATACAGAGCTTTTGTAACGGGTGTCCCGCTTTTACATATTTCTCCTTGACAAGCATCAGATTCCTCTTCACTTTCTGAAGTTCTCAATTCAATGTGTTCAGTTTGTACTTGTGCTTTGTCTTTAAGTTCCAATTCCTGGTGAGTTTCAGTTTCAGAGGTTTTTGACTTTTCCTTTACCATTGTATCTATATAAAAGAAAAGCATGTGTCAAAAGTTTTTGCAAGGTCATGTTTTTTTCTGTATGCACAAATAAATGTATATTATGGTATGTACTGGAATCTGACGTTAGTTAGTCCATACATAAACATTTTTTCGTCAAAAACTTGATTAATCTCTAAATTTGTTGGCTGTTTGGATTCTTTTTAATGTATAAACATCAAATTAAAGCATTTAATCATTCTAGTCGCCTCTAATCACATATGTTAAGATATTCTCAAAGACACTTCATTACAAATGTAAACTTCTCTGATACTCGAATGCCTTTATCTACAGTATCTATATACATTAAACTTTTAAATGCCTATTTCGAAGCCGGGTGTTAACTAATGTCAAAAGCTTGCAAGTGATATGATAGAGAAAGTCAATTTATAAATTAGATTACATAAGCTTCGATCGTTCATCGTTAAAACTAGCACCTACGTTGTTAGTAGGTTCCGGAAAAACAGGGTTTTACCGTGTTTGGTTTATGATAAAGGAACACGACTGTAAGATTTACAAAATGAACAGCAAAGTTTGTATAGAACTTGTATACATTGAATCCTAATTATCACCGATTAAAGGATTGTCAGAGTTATGATTCGAACCACTTTACTCAATACCACAGTGTGCTAAAGTTAAGCCTTTTATCAGGGATAATACGTTAACGTTAAATCAATGTTCGATAACTTTGTATAGAAAAACTCTGACCACTATGCCTGTTTGTTGTAAGTCGTCTTCAAAAAGTCAAACAAAGATAAGAAACTGAACTGTATCTTTTAAATATTGGGTTAAATGATACCAATTTTGTTAGGTGAAAAGCGCCATAAAGTTAAAGAGAGACAAAAAAATCATGTTATAAATGTTGATAAGTGCAACAAACGATATTTCCATCTTTTTTCAAACATGTAAATGCCTAATCTTCATATCAATCAAATAAACAAAATGAAAGATACAGCATCTTTGGCGAGTCAGCCTGGCATCAGTTGAGCGTTTTTAAGTATTATGTATTAGGAGGCTTGTAAGAGCTCACGTCAGACGCTGAAGACCAGACAAGAACGTACAAGATATTTGTAGACATCTTGGTACTATGTAAATCCAAAGTGTGTGTAACCATGTTGAGGAAAACGATAAGAATCGGACGATAGTATCGTCTTGTCAGTAAGTGTGGAGACTATGACAGTCATAACTAGATATTGTCAAAAAATGTATTCATCTAGTATAATTATATCGCCACACAAGTCGTAGGATTGATAATATATTATAAAGATACCAACTTGACGAGGCAATTTTCACGGCAAATTAATGATAAAACGGTAAAATGTTGATAGGAATGCGACAATGAAAGGGGGTGGATATGTTATAAAGATGGGTGTTAAACTAGCATGATTTACTATTGTGTGAAGTGTTGAATCATTTAATAGGCTTTTAAAAGGTTGACATTTATCAATTTAATGCTTTCATCTACCACCTTCTGTGGCATACAAATCAAAATTAAAATTAATTTCTTTTATAAATAAATAATCTAAAGCAAAACACCTTATAGTTTAATTGAAATGAAGTTTTAAATGGGTGCTTGGTTACAAATAAATTATTCCCTTTTAATTTAAAAGTTATTCTTCATCAATTTAATATTTAATAGAAAACGAATGCTTAATTGGTCTAGTACTTCGTATTTGTTTGAGTTAAATGTAGAAAATCAGAACTAATTCAACGTTTCTTGGGGTTTCTGCTGTCAAAATGACAAGCCTAGTTGAAAAAAATGTTGTTCACTTCATCTTTTAGATAGTGTCAACATTTTCACTCAAGTACTTTCGTCTACGGTTCAAGTGTTTATTTAAAGAATATTACTAGCTTGTTTTATATAAGAAGGCGCCGAACGATAATTTATATCCCCGCCTTATTGTTTACACAATTAAAAGAGAGAGTAAATCCAGTGTAAACGCATACCTTGTGAAGTTGGCAAACAAGTCAATGTCTCTTTCTTCTCCATTTTGTCATCGACGTCGTCATCGACGCAGATGTCAGCATCTTCGTTGTCATCTTCTTCACTATGGGTGTCGTCTGTGTGGGAAGTATCCACGTGATGTTGGTTTGTAGAGTGAAGAAGCATTCGCCTGAAAAGTAATTAAACTCGTTATAGGTTTTGAATAATTAAAAACGTTTAAAGAATTTATAAACAACTTTAATATGATAAACGAATCTATACTTAAAATAACACAAGTTACATCTTTATGGTACAGACTCGTGGCGCGACTACAAAATTGAAAGTCTTAGCAACGTCGGAATGCCTCAAGAGCCTACAATAAACACATATAGAGTCTGTCACCCCGAATGGCGCTACATACATATAAATATAGACACATCCTTCCACAATAAAGAGATAGACTTTTGTTAATCCTTTATCAAACAAACACAAAGTTTTCACTTTATTTTAGATGAATATCTAATGGTAGGTGACGGTACTATGTGCTAAGTATGTTAGAGGTATTTGTTTGGACCATATTAATGATCCTACAGAAGAGTTTACTTTCATTCATGAAATACTTAAGCAAAGTGTTATCTTCAATCCATATACATTAACGCCAGCTTTAATCTAACTTCTACTACGACCATTACTCAAAATGTCTAATACACAACACGATTTATGATATTTTATCCTAACATTTTTTACGCGAGTAATAGAGTGCACACTCTTATAGCACGTCATTGGATATTTCAAAAATACCAATCTGTTTCTGTTAAAATGGTGATATTACGTTTAATAAGAGAAACAATCTTTCTATATAGGAACTATCAAATTTAAAAAGCTAATTTTGTCCGCTGTTAAATGATTATTTTTCATATGTCCAAAGGGCCGGGTGCTGATATATGTAATTAAAATCGCTTATTGCCAGATATTGTTTAATATTATAAAACACATGTCACAAAAATAAACAATTTGGCGTATATTACTTTCATATATATATATATATTGTCTATCTGACTATACATAAAATTTGGCTTCAAATGAGAAATGGGGCCGAACGATAATTAAGTCTGGTTAGAAATGATTATAAAGAACCCAAAATATTCTATGATCCAATAAATCTACAAAGGACGGAGTTCAGTACGTCTGATTTTGACAAACCTACAACAGGGTGGAAAAAAAATATTACCAAATGATCGACAGAAGCTTTAATATTGAAAATGTGAATATGAACAACTCGTAAACTTAATCCCTATATGATTTACAATTTCATTCATTTGGAGTTTCACACATTAAATCTAAATAGATATTATTAGTCATAGACATCTCCAATTATCGAAAAATATCACCAAACACAAAATACAGTTTTGTTTTCATGTGATGTATTTGACAAGTAAATTAAATAATTTGAGAGGATATTAATTAGTTACATTAACTTATCAAGAAATTTGAGTGCCCATTTCTCTTCATAAAAAATCCATTTTTGCAAACAAATAAAGAGGATTTTATGGCATAGTGTTGCTTCACTGGTGTAAACTGGTTTCAATGTCACAACTATCAAATTTTTATGGAATAAAAGTGAAAATACAATTCATTATTAATAATAGATCATAATTACACGAAGCTGTATCATTCTATGATAAAGGAAAGAACAGATACATTTTTTAACCAAAAAAATTAATTATAGTTTTAACAGGTATCGATATAACAAACCGATTCATTACAGAGTGTTTCATATATATACTTTTTTTAGAAAAGAGAGCTTAATGAGGATTTTGGGGGGGGGGGGGGGGAGGACGTTAAATTTAAGCAATTAATTTAAAGAAAGAAAGAACCTTGCATCTAGCCTATAGAAAAACAAATACTATCATTAAAGTACATGGAATAAAGACTGGAAGAAAGAAAAGTATAGCATTAAAGCTTAATTTTAAAAGAGAGAAAAGACAAAAGAAAACAACTTGAAACAGTCCAGTAGAAATAAAAAATAAAAAACTTGTGATTGTACGAATTACAAGTAATTCTGAAATTATACCAACGAGAGCAGCTTAACATCCAAACAAACTCTCTCTTTCTCTCTCTCTGCAGACTTCCTCTTGACCCTTTCATGTATGACTATTGCTCTCTTTCACAAACATATATACAAAGAGTAATACTTACTTTTTTTCCCTTTTTCCACCACCAGTATCTCTGAATCCTTTGGCAAATGGGTTATGGTTTATCTTCAGTTGTGTGATCTAAAAAAAAATCATTACAGGACTGATGACCATTCAAATGAAATTTGATAAATGATAATATTTTATATAAAAGTTAACAAATCAAAGAAGCAGAAAAAGCAGCTTTATAAAGTCTAATTGTTGTCCCTGTTACACAGTTATACAGACAATTGGAACAAATATGAAAACATATTAAAAGATTTTTTTCTTAGAAAAGACACACATAAGTATACAATACCTTTTCATTTTGGTAGGCTGTAACAGCAATGAATTCCGTTTCTTTGAAGACATACGTTCGGAAAGCTGAATATGGTAGCTTCAGAATATCGTTTGCTCTCACCAAGTGAAATCGAGGCTGGTACTTATGCATGGAGTTCAAGATTGTCTGTATAATAAAATAATTAAAAATTAAAATTGTTGAAAGGAAAATGTGTGATTTAAAAAAAAAGAATAGATGTAAACAGGTGCTGCTTTTATATAAACGTGCTATAGCAATCCAACCATATGGAGTTTCTTAAAAATATATATTTTTAACACTGACATATTGATAACTGAAAGACAAACACAGTCAAAAACAAAGTAACAAGACCATGAACAATTTCAAGTGCATGAAAGGTAAAAATGTTATTTTCGACATGCTTTAATTGCAGTGTTTGGGGAGGGTGCTCAGATACGTAAGAGCTTAATTTAAGGTGCAAGTATGCCATCTATGAAATTTATTACAAAATCTATGGAGAGAAAAAAACATAACCCTTGACTTCAAATGTATGCTTGTATACAATTAATTTAAGTACTGTCTATCAAGTATATTACATTATTATAAATCATACATTAAGTAATTACAAATACAATTGTGTTACTTTTATAATAATGACTTCCCCTAACAAGTTTGGGTGTCAATTTTCTGTGTTACTGACACACTATAACATTTTACTGGATCTTTTTAACACATGTATCTCGTATGCTATTTAAAATGGCAAATATTTTCATATTTTGTTTTAAACCTTGCCATTGTTGGTTAAGGTAATAAAGAAAGTTTTATTTTAATATTCTTAAACCAAAAGTACCTATATAGTTATCAAAATTCAGAATATTATTTTAAATAACAGTCCTAAAATCTCATTTATTGATTATTTATGATTATTCTGATTCTTAATCATGTTTTCGTTTAATAATTCATTAACTTTATTATTGTGTCATGTTGAAAATTTAAAAATCATTTGCATGACTTGCTAAATATCAATGAGAACGTTAAATAATCTGAATTGACAGTACCCTCAGAGAAAAAAAAGTTTGTTCATCTAAACAATAGCTAGAAAATCCATGACAAAATTTGCAGCTAAAGATTGGATCAAGATAGAGAAAATTAGCGACAATTTCTATTAAAGCTGGCGCCATATTTGTGACGCAACACCATATTCATCCTTTCGGGTGCTAGCTTTCTATTTCTCTTGCTACACTGTGTGAAAAAGGTTTTGTTCTACAATTGCATAACAAAATATTTACAATATAATGTTTAATTTATCGGCTTAAAATCGCGTGAATTTCGTCTTTCATTGTGAATTTTGATTGGAGATTATTAAAAACATTTTAACTTAATTATTCATAGAGAAAATGTCAAATTTCTTTGAATGATTGCTAATTCTGAAATTTAATTCTATAATTCTGATATATAAAGCGATGAAAATTGCAACTATAAATGTTTTAATGATCAGATATGAATAAAGGGAGCTGTGCGGTATAAGTTAAAGAGATAGCAACTTCGCCACTTATAGTCAATAAAATCAGGGTGTGAGGTATGTCTGACATCTCGTTTCTTATTATTTAACAAAATCGTAAGTAAAAGGCAAATTGTACATCAATAAACTTGCTTTCCGATCATTTAAGCTGCAATATTTAGCTGATAAATTTTGAACTTTTATCTGAAGGATCTTTTGGTTTACTCTTTGATGTTACAAAACTCAGTTCAAACCCTTTCTGAATTTTCGTTACAACTGCAATGGATATAAAAATGGACTATTTTTTCCCTATTCTAAAATTTCCCTTTATAATTCCAAGAACGCGTTTTAACTATATATAGATAAGTACAACTATAGACTTGATAAGTTTCTTCGTCAAAAGTTATTAGACAACCACAGTGTTGGTCATCCGACAAATCGGCGACAAATTTGGACATGTACTATATTATTACGCTTGTAAAAACAAGTGTATATAATTTATTAGCCTCTATATCATTTACAACATTAAATATAATGGCTTAGTAATAACTTGTATTTGATTATGCAATGTAAATAAAGGGAGAAGTGTGTTCCTTGTCAGATTTTGACCAAATTTCAGATGAATGACTGTTACTAATTCATGGCTAGATTACATTATTTCATTTGTTAGTGTCCAATATTGATAATAAAATTCAATTCTTGTCTATCAATTGCTCACAATATTAAATTGTAACATGTAACATTGGTAATTCATTACTGATAATTATTGCTAATGAGAACATAAAACATGATCAGTCTTATTTCAAAGAGAGGTTGGAAGAACTTCTTCTGTTTCAAAAACCTCAAAGTCAGACAAGTAAGTTGTGTTTTAGTCTTTTCATTTTTAATGCGTTCTCTTGTGTTTTCCGACATGGTCCATACGGATTTGATGAAACTCGTCATAATTTCACTTAGCATTTAATAGGGACAACTTAAAGAGTTGGGGATTAATTTGTTACTTCTAAATAATTTATCATTCCGCTTCAAGTGTTTATTTTGACATATTTAAGACCATTTTAAAGTTTCCTCAATAAAAATAATCCACAAGAATTCAAACAAAATAATGTCAAATCATCAAATGTCTACAAGAATGAGATATGGATTATTATAATATCTATTATCCTTTAAAAAGGTGAGTTAGTGTAGTGACCAATGAACGCAAAAGACAAGTCAAATGTTTAAACAGAAATCTGATCCTGTTTGAACTGAGGGTTAATAGAGATATTTGGACGTTTTTCGAACGCAACCTACAATTAGGTATCGTATTAAGGTGTATAATTTCAGTACTTCTTTATTTCACACCATGTTTCTTCACTGTTTAATTATAAAAAGGCCTGTAATTTTCTATTCAGAATTTTTGATGACCGTATCAATAGTCATAACTTTATCAAGAGATTTTCTGACAATTATCAACACTAAAATATGTACTCATATGACCAGAAATTAAAATTTTCGATTTCCTATTCATAGGATATGAAAAATATTGTATGAGCCTGCAGGTCAATAGCTTTAAACATGTTATCGGCTTTAACACGTGAGTTGCTGTTGTTGATACCGGAGGGTTCGATATCAATATTGTCGACTTCTGATATTATGGAAAATACATACAAAAAGTTTCCAGTAGATAACAGATTCAAGAATAAAATAATTCAGAAGTGAGAGTTATTAGCTATATCTGCAATATTATCCCCTTAGTGAACCTCACAGATTTTTTTTTAGCAAACAACGACAGACTAATCATTGAGACTACTGAAAAAGCGATGGCTTGCAATATAAATCATAAAGTTACTATTGATTAGTGGTGGTTTTGTCTTTATCGTGAAACAACCTATGAAATACATTACGAGGCTATATACTGAGGTCCAACTGCATCATCCGGCTTTCGAATGAGATTTTACTTTAATAATTAGTGTGGTATGATCATAAATCTCACCAGTACAGATTTTATTTCATTTGAAATAGTTTTATTTTTTGGTCGATCTTGCGAACAATAACACCAGTGCTATAGATATCTTTCTTGTAATTTGGTGCTAATGTTTAAACCTATTCGGTGTTTTAAAATCAAAGCATTCTAACGTAAACATAGCTGTAAAATGTATTTGTACAAATTAGGTTACGCGTAAAGAGAATAGATTGTGCCGTGATAGCGCTATACAAGTTTTTACAATAATATTCAATCGATCTATTATTATTAGGTGTTATGAATAATTTTTGTTCAAAGAAATGTTCAGAAAATGTATGATTTTATCATTTTAGGTCCAAATGTTGTAAAGCGGGGTGTAAAATTGTTAAAACAGAAGTGTAAAAGTTCTTTATTTTCAATTTGATCGGAATCGAGATAGAAACGAAAATTGAAATAAAACAAAGAGGAACATGTGTGTTTATCATGAAGATCTTATGTTTTTACACCAATTTTTCCGGGGGATGTATCATCCGTAACATTTTTATTACATAAAAATCAAGAGTACTTGTTCGTAATTAAAAAGATAAAATGAGCCGCCAAATCAAATTTGACACATTTATCTGGAGGTGAAAATGATCACAGGTAGAGTACCAACGAGGATGAGAAAACTGTTAAATTGATGACCATATGCTCTTTTCACACAAAAATTCGATAAATTAGGTTACGGTTACTAATGAACAAGTCTGATGTCACAGCAGGAAAAGTGTGAATAGAATTGCTGCATCAGTTGGAATTCTTCCTTGTTGTTTTATATAGAATTGTTTCTTATAACAAATAGAGTAAAATCGTATTTGATGAAATGAAAACAGTCTCATTAACACCCAATTTTGATCTCAGTTGAAATGACAAGTAATGTTTTCACCTTTTCGCACCTAATTTCGTTAAAAACCATCTGTCCATTTGATTGATAAATATACATAAATACAAGTTTTCCATAGAACATCCATTAACTACATCACATGACAAAAATGTTCGTTCAAAAATATTTTGATATACAGATACTCTGTATAATCACACATAGTATAACCGCCTTTCATAAAGGCTTTTCCTCTGTCTTGTGATGTTTTACGTTAATGACGTCATCAAGAGCACCTGATTTTGAATTGGTGATAATACTTGCCGTACTTACAAAACCACTTTTGTCGGAAATGTTGTTTGACAGCTTTAGTTTGTGAAAGTTAACGACTTTCTGCATCCATTGTTCTCCAGTGGCAGGAGAATCCGGGTGGATATACATCCGCTTTGGCATTTCTGGATCTGCTTTTCCTGCTACCATCCACCGACTATTGTGGAATTTATATCGACAATCATCAACAGCAACCAAGTCCATCAACAATATATATTTCGCTCGTTTGTCTAAGCCAGAAACTCTAACTTTGCAAGGAGGAAACATTCTCCTAAAATGAAATATTTCAAATGATTTTTTAATCTTTATATAACTTTTTTTGAAAATAACGTGTTTTTTCTGACTTACTTTAGCTTGAAAATGGTAGAAATTTAAACTATAACTAATGTTGGATCTAATATTCCTTCTATCTAAATAGCAATGAAACCTAGGTTAGAAAAACTTTTTTTCTCTCTTTACAATCGACGTTATGTGTGTAAAAAGAGCATGGTCAATTTTTTTAACACAAAATATGCAAGTAATTTTTAAAACAGACTGCGTTAGGAAACATATCTTTCATTCTAAACAAAATATTCCGTAAGATAAATATCTGTTTACAAATAAATGTAAATGCACGCATAAGAAAATATCTAAAGGTTTAAACCGAACTTATGGACCTTTCAAACTTTTTCTTCCAGTAGCAAAAACCTCGGTGTCGGGTAAGATGTATTTTGTCAACGATATCTTTGAACATGTCAACCTTTGAACCCAACACAAGATACAATATGCATGAATTTTATTGAGGCGATAAACATTTGTAAACAGTTGACTTGTAGGGTGTTTGTTTTTGGTAAAGTTATTGTTTGTGTTGATGAAATACATTCGACGACCATCTTTTTGCTATAGGATGTCATCTTTAACGAGCGGAAGTACCGGTGCATTACTATGCTTTTATCTAGATTAATGTGTTTCTCTTTAAATTAATTAAAACACACAATTTTTGTACTTTTTGCTGTGTGTTTGTAAAAATGAAGAAATGGAATTAGTTTATATGGATTTTTTTTTCAAGTAAAACAGATTAAGGATACAATTATTTGGCAAAATTCTTTTATCAAAGTTTCAGTGAAAAAATACACGTTTTGCCTTTCACCTTAATGCTTTTAATTCGACTTGTAGCTTTTCAACCTGGGTATATTTTTCGTTTCATTTTGTATGCAATGTGAATGATATTGTAGTAAAAACTGAAACTAAAGGGTAATTTTCTCTTGTTTACATTGAAATGTTTAACGAATAAATTGTTGCAACAATGCATGTTTTCATGCACATAACATAACATATGTACAGATAATAAATATTTGTACCGGTGTCATAAATTGTAGAGGGATACTCAAGTATCAACAGAGACACGATTACTGTTATAATCAGTCAATAACACTACACTATTTATTTTTCCCATTGCCAGGTTCATTACGTGTTTACATATATATCTACATAACATGCATTTCCAATCAGAATTAATTTATTTAATGCACCTTTTCCGGAGTTATCAGATTAAGAAATTATCACTCGTATTAAATTCATTAGCGTCAACTAGAAAACTTATCTAAATAAATTTTGTCTATTTGCGCTTGTACTTAAAATATTAATATCATATCATACTACGCGGGATAATTTACTCGAGGGCTGTAACTAAGATTTGTTTGCTGTCGAATGGATTTAATTTAATTCTAATAAACCTAATAGACCCCCTTAATATGTGATGTAAGTTTCACATATGATGCTGTGAAATGCTGATTACAGGGACACAAAATGTAGATATCCCCAGTATGACACTAAGCCTATATGGACTCAGGTACTGATAGTGGATATAGTTTCAAGTTAATTGAATTAAAATTTACTAGAACTAGGGATTTTTTGTTATATCATCTGATTCAAATACGGCTAATATTGAATGACTAGGGTAATTAGCAAAGGCTGGGGAAATCTGATGGACAACGAACAATTCTGGAGGCAACGTTAATTTTTACATGTGGTTAAACTTGCATTAAATGAATATATATACCTCTGTGTATCGTTAATAATAAATCTGAAAATATATTTTTTTGCAATAGCAACTAAATATCCATTATTATTTTTTTAATAAAAAAAAAATATTTAATATCAGCAACCCCATCTCGAGTATGACAAAATATGTTCAAGCAAAGAATTTTACGTTTTCTTTGACAAATATCTTTATTTCTTCTAAAATAATATGCCGCGATTTCATTACCTAATAACTTATTTATAAACAGAACATGTACAATTGGAAGGTTAAATTATCTATGTTTATTTAAATCGTTCTCCTAGTTCCTTATTACATGTCAATGAAAATAAGTGTATATTTTTTGTATTTAATAATCAGAGGAAAGTTCAAAATATATTTTATTTTCGAACAATATTTATTACTAAAGAAAACACAATTTTGTAAATGCATTTTTTGCTATTTAGATAATATTTTTGTCGAATGTAAAGTGATTAATTTTTTTGATAAAATATTTTGTTTTTTTACACAAGCAAAATAATTACTACATATACGACAACGTAGCCGTGAACTATTTATTACAAATTAAAGTAAATATTTACTTATGTTTTGTAATTCCGGAAGTTAATTTATTTATAATCAGAAGCTAGTTTTGAAGCCTTACATGAATGCGCAATTAGAAATAAACAATTTTGCAATTAATAATAATAATAACTCAGAATTTTGAAAATAGAGATGTATATTTATTTTTAGATCAAGTGACTTCCATGCTTTTTCTGTACACGATAAACTGATAAATAAACCTCAAACCACAGTCTCAAGTTCTTAAGGCTAAAATATGAAAGTAAATATTTACAATATTTTCTTATAGAAAATTCTTCGACTCTTAATAATAAACTGATCGTTTAATTAGACATATTTGACGACATTAGTCGCACGTTTTAGTGGGTTAATATTTCTAAATCAAAATAATAGCTGAATTTCATCAACAAAAAACAAGTAAGTATTGTTTATATAATTACCTGCCAGACTTTGTAATGACCATTTCGGTTCCAAGTTTATGAAACTGTTCCCAGAGGTCCTTTCCTTCCAGTTCGACTTTTGGGTCATCTTGGACTTCAGATTCTGGAGGTTCTAAACTCCTAATTGGCCTCTGATACAGAGGGTGCATTAAGTCTCCTGGGGATAGAGTAGACCGTGCCATACTCTGTTGTAACTTTGGAAACAAAGAAGCTGGTAGTCCAGAATGCTGAACGGAAGGAAGATAATGTTGTTGCAGGAGGGATCCATAATCTGTTGGTCTGTGGAATATAAACGGATTGTATGCCATAGTCATTTCTGGATTAGACCCCTGATAAATCATTGAATTTCGATGTCAACAGAATGTTTAAAAGCTAAGTTTCGAATAAATTTCACTAATTTGTCATTTCACAAATAAAAACTTTAACTATTATGATTTAAAATGTCCATGAAAAATCTAAGTCCATTATAGAGAAAATCGCCAGATTGTGTGTTATCAAACTAGCCGAGGCATATTATTTGTTAGTCATTAAAGTGATATGTTTGCTAAATTATGATTGGTAAATGGAGATATAATTAACCAATGAAATCCATGGATTTGAGTGGTTCATCTGTTACAAGGGTGGCCCGTCAGCTTGTCGCCAGCATAGTAAAATGTTTCAACAATGATGTGTTAATACGTCAAGAGAGCTGTGATTTACAGGCCTTAAGCTCCGCCTATTTGATCTCCTGTTACAGTGAAATGCTCACGGATAAATATTATTTTATTACAAGTATGTTTTTGTGTGGTAAAATAGACACACATTTACGTTTAGGATAGTATAGAAGGACTTGTAACTCGAAGAATTATTTGAAATGGAACCACATTTTTTTAATAAAATTATTTTATTTTACATTCAAATGTTGTATATTGTATATATATTTATAAATATATTAAAATGCACCCTTAATTAAATTGATAGTTATATATAGGAAAATTAAAAAATAATTATGTTATGCTATAATGTAACGTATAATAGTCCCAGGTTATATTATGTAAAAAAAAGTTTCTGAAAATATCTTGTTGAATTATTTTCATTGAATATTTTAACTATTCTGCCAGTCGAAGATGTTTTTTGTACCTTTATGCCTGTCGTAAATGCTACCCCTATATCTATGTTGTATAAATCAAGATTGTTCACTGAAAGAGTAAGTATATTGAAAAATAAATGTTATATTAATTTCAATGGAATTTACAGAAATTGTCCCGTATTGTTGGAATAGTAATGCTTACTAGAAATTTACGATATCAAAAAAATTCACACAGAGATTTATAATAATTTGATAGTCAAAAATAATTTTAAGCACCGCCTTTAAAATTTAAAAAGCCATCAATTTGTTTATAAAAACATAAAGGTGGGAATTTCCCCCCTAAATTAATTATAATCGGATTTTATTTAAATTTTTTGATAAAGTGTTACTTATATATCTTGATCTTTAAGCCAATCAATAAAACAAAAGTTAACAATAATAAAAGCCTTCTGAAGTGTATAAAGCTTAATAAATAAATACACCACATCAGTTTTAGGTGTAACCATTCTTTGTTAAGTATTTTAGCCAACTATCCATACAGTCTCATGCCAATCTGTTAGGCGCCGTTAAATATCGACTGAATGAATAATTTCACTGATTTTCATTTAACTAAACGATAGAATCATGTAAATAACTGGACAAACATATGAAAGGTAATACACGATTAGACTATTGAATTTTATATTGCCTTGTTACTTATATGAAAATTGTTTTAAAATATAATATCCTTCATATTTCTATGAAGAGACCTGCACAAAATAAGACCAAAGTTGTGTTTTTCTAATTTAAAAATGCATTTAAAACTGTTTTACATGTTACAGATCGATTGCTTAATTGAAAGTTACTTTTCAAACGTTCAGTGACAAATATTTCATGTATTTTCATGAGGATGAGGAAGATAGTTTAGCTATCAAAGTGATCATATATAAGCATCAAAATAATTCGTCCTCCTTTAGTTATGTATAAACGGATCATGTATAGAGCTTGGTATATTGAATCATCTGTCTATTATTGTAGACTGAATGTTGTTCTCTAGATCGCGTTCTGTTATTTTTGTCGATAGGTTGCTGTTCCATTGACGTATGTTCCACATCTCATTCTATTTATACACATGATATACATTCATATATCCTTCGCATTTTGCATCAATATCTATTACAAACTGATCATTTTGGAATATAAAATAGCGTTATATAAAACGATAAACTATTGAAAAAAAATATATTATTTTTTTTAGCAAAATGTTTATAAGTATGATTACAAAATAGAATCTATAAATAGATCTGTCCTCGGACTACTCAGTGGTTCGTTAGGGTGAGTCAGAACAGAAACATACACACATATATATATATAGCAGGAGATCAACAAGAAACACAACAGACAAGACAGTCACCTTGCAGGCTTCAACAAGAGACAAATGTCTATACCATGTCTAATGCTCTGTATCATCCGAATCAGTTAAGACAAGATTTTAAAAATCCGCTACCCACGTCAAATTTCTTTAAGTGACAAAAATGCACAAAAAGCTGTAATTAAAATCAGCTCTATGCGCATTAAATAACCATGCAACAGAGCTTACATCCATGCAAAATAAGTATGCAAACAGATGTCTTTAAAAAAAATTCTCATAAAATTCTTGTTATATTTTTAAATAAAAAAAAATCTGAAATGAAATTCGGCATACATTGTTTAATTTCACTTGGGTTAAGATTGTGTATAAGGCAATTCATATAAAAAACAATGGCAAACGTCCGTCAGTTTATTTTAAAGGCTGTCTTTATCACCATGCAGGATTCAAATAATTAAACATTCTATCAATGGAACACAACCAGCATGAATATTTACAGCTGAACAAAAAATATCTCAATCTCAGCAAAACGTAGGCGGAACTGCAGAACATTTATTAATACATGATTTATTGTTTATAACGAAACATCACTTATGGTTGGAATCATCGTTATAGTATCGAGCTCCTCTAGAACAAATGAAATGGTTTATTCATTAACAAAAATACCATAATAGATATTAAATTCTGTTTATTTCATACTTTTTTTGCAGAATAAACATATGTAATTTATATCCATTCTTGGAATTAACATTCGAATAGCGATTGTCTCTCTTTTCCGATAATTTATGATCTCAATCTGATATGCATGGAAACTGACATGCAGAGATATTGTCCTAGGTATGGTAAAAGACAAACAGAAAACGGCTATAAAAACTTGGTATGCAGTTGCATATATAATACACTTACACGTTGCCAGCTAAATCTGAAGGACTGTGTAGAACTCTATTCTAAAAAAATGTGATTTATGAACTTTTCTTTTCCCGTTATGTTTATGAAATAACAATTAAAAGTAAAGAATAATTAAGAAATGACAGTTTAAGGTGAGATGCTTAAAATAAAGCTTTTAAAATGCACACAAACGGTGCTAAAACGGTAGTTAAAGTCGGTGCTTAATAATAAATCGGTACCGGACGGGAGACGACGGATGGTTTTGTTGATACAATGACAATCGTATATATTTCGAAACATATGTGGAATGCAATCTATTTCAACTTTATCGCCGAATTTATTGTTAACAAATACATACTGTATGAAAGGTGTTGTATTTTTCTTGGCGAATTATAGTTCTATAACGTTTAGTTAATTAAGTAATAAAAGCGAAAAGTGAATTGCAGAATAAACAGAAATTTCAGGAATGTTCAATAAAGTACAACTGTATGATTTGATTGCAAAACTTTCGGAAAGTAAACAGAATTTTTCAAATTTCTCGAAATAACATGCTTGCTGCATCATTCTTTGAATATTCAGGTATGAGTTTTATGCAAAGCACTAATTTCGAAAGCCACCAAAGCAAGCAAGATTTGATACTAGTTACCGACTTTTAACTTATCAGTATTTATATATGTCCCTCTTTTCCATGCAGATATTGTCTATGCTGACACTCAATATATTCCTTCTCGGTATCTTATAAACCCTTTTATTGCTGAATTCAAATATGGTATTCCTTAAAGGGTTGTGAATAAACATTACCTAATATCTAAAAGTAAACAACAGAGTTGATGAGATTCTTGGTATATGAAGAACCCGTTGAAATAACATCTACCCAAAGTGGCCATCGTTAATCAGTACTAATTGGTATATCATATAACTTTATTGTCATCTAAAATAATATGTACACATCTTAATCTAATGTTTATATCCAAATTATCGGGAAGAAAACACAATTCTGTAACATGCCGCCGTTTATCTAAACAAACGCCACAGATCTTTGTGTTGCGTTCTGATAAACTGGTATTCGATCTTGCAATTCAATATTGTCAACGTTATAAAAGTATACCTATTACTCATTAATTGCTAATTAAGCAGACTGAACAAATTCTCCATGGATTATCAGACAGACGGATTGATCCATACTCGCGAGGGAAGGCAATATTATTTTTCATTGAAATATCACCCGGGATGATAATGGTAATATCACCTTACCAGACAACATACGCAGTATATTCTATATGTAATACCGCGTAATTCTGATTTTTTACGGTATTTAGCTGTTAACATTCTGCATTATAAATGAGATTTTCAGGTGCTAATTGCAGGTAAATCTAGTATGTATTACAACTTTGATAGAGAAAACAATCATTGGTACTACATCAGAAATGGTTCTTTTGTTTAGGGTTTGCGTGATACACCGACACATGAGTTTTTATATTCTATGTATTATTACGGGTTTCGTGTGGTTGATGGGACAATTATTGTTTTATGTTACCATAACTGTTGCAAGGCAATCGACAGGGATATAAGGCAGATGTTGTCTTGGGATAGTTGTATGGACTTTATGGCTTTAAAATTCTATAATCCACACAAATAGTCTAACAAATCCATGTTTGGAAACCTTGGTCATAGAAATTGTTTAAAACCATCGGACTCGAAAATTGCCAACTGCAATGGAAACACCAAAATTAGAAAAGAAAACATATCTCTTTGCAAAGAAAGCATAAATGAAAAACATTTAACTGCTCGTAACAAACAAAAGCATAAAAGACCTATTTCCATTCCTTTTGTATCAACGACATGTCGAAGTTATTGTTTTAAAAGTTATACTTTTTCACCAGCCTGTAATCCGGGCACTAAGATCGATGGGTTACATGAAATTGACCAGGATCCTATAGGCTACCTCAATTCTATATTATGACAGGTTCTCTGAAAAATACTCCAGAGTTCTATTTTATTCAGGTCGTAAAAATGATATCCTCTCTTTTTCGTGTATTAATGTTCACGGTCATAGAATCTTGAATCGATAAAAAAAAAAAACGAACTAAAACAGCGAGGACAGAGCTACAATATACTCAATATTACGTATCAAATGTTATGTTCATGCATTAGGCCGTTAGTTTTCTCGTTTAAATTGTTTTTACATTTATCATTTTAGGGCCTTTTATAGCTTACTATGCGGTATGGGTTTTG